TGTTGCCAATTGTGTCAGCTCCATGTGCCAGCCTGTGCCATCTCTGGGGATTATCAGAGATGGTGTTTGCCAGCACTATGGAAACAGTTTAACAATATGGAAAATTGAGAACCTTGCCAGGGAGTGTTTCCTTGGGGTTTCCAGGCTGAGCCACATCTTTACATCACCAGAGGTAAAATTGCAAAGGTGTACACACATGTAAATCCGTAAGGCATTGTTATGAGATTAAATATAGGAAATTTTTTAGGTGCTTGGATTCATAGCAAAGATATTTATGCTCTAATGGTCAAAGAAATGTCAGTAGGAATTCAATATATCTGTGTATTTTCAGATCTAGGCCACAACTCCTGTTCCAGAGGGATTTTAGTCCCACTAGATACTTCTATCAGGAATGAAGAATCAGCATAAGTGATGATGTGCATTTTCTTTTGATCCTTCCACTGCTTGGCATTCTCTTCCTTTGATAAGGTGCCACCCCTTCCCCTGTTCCTTTTTCTGTCAGACCACACAGAGGAAGTACAAGAGGTGATTGGAGTGGGCTGATTAGCCTTCACAGTCCTCAGTGCCCTAGGTGTGGAGCTGAAAGCCATAAATGTAATCCAAATTGCCGCCTTAATATGGTTTCTTGAGGCTCTTTAGGCTGGGGTTTGGATGGAGCTGCTCACTGAGTTCATTCATTTCTCTTACTCTGTTGCAGATTTCACCAGCTTACTGATCTATATCTAGGTCAGCTTCATAAAGCATAATTTCTGTTCTAGGGCTTCATAAACTGTAATTTCTGGTCTAGTCTTCAGCTGGGAAGACAGCTGGAGGGGGCTGAATGACAAATGGTGAGACTGCATGGAACTCTAAGTGAGTGTTAGTCTGTGGCTTTTACTTAGTGCCTTTTAACTATTTGCAAAGATTTGTGAATTGAAGTAAGCGGTGTGTAAGAGACTAAAATTGTTAATGGCTTAAACTTTCTAAAATCATTGAAGGACTTTTTGCCCACCATAGCAAACTGCAAATACACAGCTGAATACTGTAAGCACTCAAGCCCACCCCTCCCCAAATATGCCTAAGACCTGGAATTTGGATTGTGACAGGAACTTCAGATAAGACGAAGGGGGTACTACTGTCCAATCGTCCCAGGTCGAGGGAGGAGAATGTATCCACAAGTGATACAGGAAGAGACTGGAATGCTGATGGTTCAAATATTCAGGGGGAAACTGCTGATGTGCAGAGGCACAAAGGGTGAGCACAGCCCTGCTCAGGCTCTAGCTGGTGTTGAATGAGGTAAGGAAAGAGGCAAACTTTGTGCGGTGGGGAATTGTCCCTCTCCTTACTCCAGCAAACTCAGCTGTGTTAACTCCCCTGCCAGGGAACTACCAGAGCACTCACATGTACCCTGGGAGTGTCTGTCTCTGCTGATGGGCCACCATGGGCCATAATGAACTCAACTGCACTGGAGCTGTATCTCCTTGGAAGGTGTCAAAGACTCCCGAAATGTCCAGAGATCCACAACATTACAGCACCCAGCTGAAACTCCCTCCTTCAGAGGAGGTATCTGGGCATTCCTATTTGAGCCTGAGTGCATATAAACCAGAGTTTGTATTCTGGGGGTTTCTTCACCACCTGATGGATCCAGTCTGTGACTGTCACTTTGACTAAGGCTGTGACCATCCCTGTGACCAGCAAACATTGAAATGGCAGCAGCTGAGCCTCTTCACAAGGCCTATGGGTGGTGAGGTTTTTCTACTCTTATAATTCCCTTCTCTTTCCTGTACATCTTCTGCAGTGATATTTTTCTGCTTTTATTTTGTCATATTACTGTAGATAACAGCAATCAAAATGTCTCCATACCTGTTTTCCGTTTTGTTCTATGATAAACTCCACACATGTATAATTACAAACACCAATCATTCAGTGTTGTTTCACTCTAATCCACCCCAAGTGAGTTAGACATTGAACTATACTGATGGTATGGGCTAAAAGTGTTCAAAATTAATTGCTTTAAGGGGTCAACTCTCCTTTAAAGGTGTGGGGGCTTGGCTGCTGCTGGAAAAGCCAGAAAGGGAAGAAAAGCAGGTAGAGTCTAATGACAAATGGTTTGCTGCTCTGCTAATCATGAAATAAGGAGCTAAAATGTAAGCCTCAGCAGCTGTGAGGTCAGACCTGGCTGCAATACACACAACCTCTGCCATAAGGGTGACAGGGAGGGAGATGGAGTTGGGTGAAGAAGAAGAAAAGGAAGGCAAAGTAAGCAAAGAAGAAAAGAGGTTTAAGGCTGAGTGGGAAAAAGAGAGAACATGAGAAATTATCATCAACCCTGATTTACATTTTATCTAGAAGATGTATGGCTTTTACAGACTCTCAGAAAAAGAATATCTGCTCAGAAACAGCTTTATCTGTCACTTTGTGAAGCAAAGTTCTTTTTTACAGTAGAAGGAAAAAGTCATGAAACAGCAATTTGTAGAAATAAACTGATCAGCTAGACTGTCAAACCTGTCCTCACCATGCTCTTTTTCTGTACCTTGGACCTCTTTCATGTCAGTTTTTGAATCAAGCAGTAGAAGTGTAGCCCTTCAGTGAATTGGAAGGAATGGAAAATTAGAGGTCAGAACAATCTTATTATACATGGGGAAGGAGACTTACGTTTTCTCTGGATCCATAATCTGATTTTCCATTGTAGCGTTTATCCATACATGAAATCTTCAAGCAAAAGAATTTAGTTTAATTACTATGTAATAATTTTCCAGATGGCATCTATTACATTGGAAAGTGATAAATATCTCAGTTAAATTAAAAAGAAATATGCATCATTCCTAATAAATTTCAGCAGACATCTGCCAATAAGGCAAATCTTCTGCAAGGCAAGTGTTTGAGTTGCAGGAATACTGAAACAATAGAGGGAAAGTCTATATGTGCATCACTATGCACATACATAAATAGCAACAGATGTGAACATGTAGGCAACCATCTTTTGGGGTATTTGCCAATTTAACCGGCTACAAATCTGCTCATATTCCCAGCATGCTGAGAAGGGATTCAACTTGCAGCAAGGATTTCAAAATTACACTTAAGCCTGTTAGCCTGTCCTGTAATCAGGTCCAGTCGGTCTTCACAAAGCCCCTTGGTGTGGGAAAGGTAAGTCATGAATATCAATGAGTGAGAAGATGTGAGCTTTTCCCCCATGTACAACAAATCATGATGTGTCTGCTGCAACTGGGCATTTGGTAGGAAGCCTCGTTTTCATCACCATTCAAAAATCCTGGTACAAACCCCAAACAAGGATTAAATTTCCTCTCAAAACACTAACCTACCATTTTATGAGTCCCAGTAGATGTTTTGGCATTGCATTTTTTGTGTGGTTTGGACTTTGTCTTTTTGTGACTCCTATTCTAGTTTTCTTTTTGAGTTCCCCCTCTACAAGGCAATTTCCTTGCTCCTGGCTCTGCTGGGATGAGAGACAGGTCAAGTGCAGGGGCCACCTTTCCCATACTGTGTCTGGTCTGTCCATCTGCAGCAGCCCCAGTGCAGAGGGAATCCCTCTGCCAGGAGCCTGCAGTTTGTGCAATCCCTGGGGAGTGCCTCTGCTTTCCTTCCACACATTGCTACCTGCTTGTTCAATTCCTGAGCTGTAATGCTAGCCAGGAAAACAAGCACAGTGTTTGGAGCTAGAGCCCTGCTCTCATTTTGGAGCTGTGAAGATATTTTAGGAACTCAGGATGTTTGAGATGGTTTGCCTCTCTGAAATGTTAATGTTCAGGGCCTTGTTTCCTCATTAAATAATAAAGTTACTGACTGTCAAGTGCATTGAAGACCTGGGATGAAAACTGTGTCCTCTTAAGCAACTTCTGATTTTAGTGTGATGGTGGTAGGCTGCCTGCTAATTACATGGCTGTCTTGAAATTGGTAACTCAGCTCCCCGTGGGGACCTGCTGTGACTCCAGACACGTGGTCTCTTAATTTTCTGAGAGCAGCAAGCAGATCAGACAACAGCTTGCAGATAGAGGACAATGCTGCTGCAAGCAGGAACTGGGACTTCAGGATGCTGTTCAATAAAAAACAAACCCAGCTAACTGTTTTTCTGTACAGGACACAGCTTGGTTCCTCATTATTTACTCATTCTGCAGCTACATTGCAGTATGGGGTTTGGGTGTGCTTCTGAAGAGGAGCTGAGTGCTACAAGGTCAAGTCATGGCACAGAAGCACCTGCATTGCCACGGGAAGGCTACGGGGATATAGAAGCATTTGAGTCTAAAACATCTTCTTTTGGTAGAGTACAATTTCCTTTCCAAATCTATTTCCAGAAAGCAAAAGCTGTAGGTCACTGCCCCAAAAGTTTTCTGCTGGAGGAGGGAATTACCTAAACAGAAGGAATGCTCAGACAGAACTGTGAGGACCAAACCAGAGTGCTGGTTTGTCTGAGCTCACACAGCAAAGCTGAATGATCCCACCTTTGGATGCCAGCCTGTGCCTTTCCCCAGGCTCCCCCTCTTTCAGGTGTCTGCTCATGCTTCATCTGTCACCCCTGGGCAGATGAAAGAAAAATGTTGCTGGTAAGATTTTCTCTCCACTATTGCTGACAAGCAATCTGTCTGTTCCTTATCATTAACACTGTGCTAAAAAGCTCCGCTCGTCTGCGTGTACTGCTAAAGGTCTTGCAGCTGATATGGAAATGTCTGACGTGTCTGCATTCCCTGGACCTCGCATTACAGTGGGGATTGACATTTCCTTTGGACTTGAGGTCAAAAGCCATATAAAAATAAAAACTCTTCATAAGATGATATAGGTGAACTTGCACTGTAGCTGGTCTGAACCTCCTTAGTATCCACGGCAATCAAATCAGTAATATTTTATAAGATAATAAGGCTCCAGAATAAAAGCTTCTCTGTTGTGAGAGCTCTGTTGGAAAATAAAAGCATCCCCTTTTATCCATCAAAGATACAGTTCTTTATTCCTGCCCTGTGAGCAATACTAGCATCTTCCCCATAGGTCAGTCCAATTTTGAGATCTTGATGAGTGTTAACTACAGATTTGTTGGCACTAAGCATTGTTGGTGTTCAGGCTCTGTGGTCTGTTTTACACGGCAAAATCTGACCCAAGGATGTTGAGAACATCTGAAGGAACTCGGGATAAAAGCGAGATGGAACAACCTTGTCCCAGTAGAAGCCTACATGCCAAAGACTCTTCTCCCAAAGCTTTCTCAGTGTGCTGTTGCCTGTTGTCATCATTATCACCACAATTACTAATAATTTGAACCACTGTAGTGCATTAAGTACATGTCTGTTCTAGGAAGAGAATCTCCCTGAAGCAGACAGAGTGCACCTGTCTGTACCAGGAGATGGTCCATGCAATAGAGAGCTCACAACATAAATATGTGGGATCAGAGGCTGGGAGAAAGCAGGTGGCAGATCCTCCACTCAAGGCTCCTCTCCCTATATTAAGCTCTACCCTACTTATGAAACCCAGAAAGCTTTGGTGACCATATGCTGTTAGTAGGAAAGCTCAATTGTTCTTAAATCCTTACAGGATGTTATCTGCCCCTGTTACTTAGCTGGTGGGAGTGTATCCATCAATCTCCAGTTATCTAACAGCCATCTCCTCTAAACTAGTTTTCCATGGTCCAGTATAGCCTTGAGAAAGAATAGGAACATATGGACTCTGCATTCCATATCTACTCTCTTCAAAGTGTAACGAGTGCTTCCTTTGGGAATGCCCACTAGCTCGTAGAAGGTGCTTAGGTAGGTCTCTCAGACTACAACTTGACATCCATAATCAGATTAATTGAGATTATAAACAAGCTTGTAGAATAAGTAACAGAGGAAAATGCTGAGCTGCTGATAGGCAAATAATTGCTGAGAAGTTTCAGGAACTCTGGCTGTATCATTTTAGGGTGGCATTAGATGAGTGAATTGCACCTCAGCTACATGCTATGGAAAAAGGGGTGTTTCTTCCCATGTCTTTATGGAGGTTGCAGATCTCACCCAGCTGAAGATGTAGCTTTGGACCTCTTCCCCAGGACAAAACCTGAAGGTTTAAAGGCCTAAAGAGCCCTGCTGATGAGTGGTGAGTGGTGGTGGCAAAAGACAACATAAAAAACCTCCCACAAAAAAAAAGATTAGAAAATCTGCAAAAAGGGACAAAAGCAAATATTGAAATAACCTCAACACTTTAATCCCCATCCCATTTTAATCTAGGACTGTACTCTATTAGCATAAAAATACCAATTGCATTTATTTTGTTAAGGCTTTGCTGAGTAGCTTGACCCCCAGCCTAATGTGGTTGCCAGGCATATTTCTCTTCTACAGAGAGGTGAACAGATGGCTTTTTTGTGTGTGTGACTGTGTAAGAAAACCCATTTCTGCAAACAGGGGATGTCAGGTGAGTTAGTGGAACAAACCTCTAATTCTGTAATAAGTTAATTGTGTAGTGAAACAGAGCTTAGCGTCAGGCTGGTTTCCACTCAGATCAGGTAAATTAATTAACTTTCCAGTGTGTTACTGGAATGCTGAAGGATTTGCTTCTATTTCTGGATGTGCATGATGTCAGAACATACACTGCAAGTGGAACCAGGAGCTTTTTCCTCCTTGCTGATATCAACAGGAGCTGGTTTGATCCAGCCCATGGTAACCCCTGTCATACCTCAGTCTGGCTTGGATGGCAAAGAATCACTGATGAATGCTTAAAAAAGATAGCTGTGAAATCCCATTCAAGAGTAAAATATTTGAGGCTAGGAAAAGCCTTTAATGACCATCTCAACCTTCAGTAAGGCAAATATTTTCTGTTGGTTCAGATGCATTGCATTATATCTGATTATACTGGTAAAATAATGAAATACAGTTTTGTTGCTGATTGCTATTAAAATATATATTTGTATAAAAAAGATTAAATCTCATTAGCTAGAATTAGAAAGACATGTATCTCTGTGTTTAAAATGGATATGTGCTACTGAATATGAGCAAAGATATTGTGATTGCTCCCATTTGGTTCACACATCTTTGATGAAGACTCTTCTAAGCTTTTAGAGAGAAACAAAACCTTCAAGGGCTCATCTGACTAATTTTAGGAATTTGCATTATGATAAGATGGCCAACATCCTGAAAGACTCTATACCTCTGTGCTGATTGAAATGAGGAGGTAATGATTAACACAGAGGTAAAAAATCTGCATTGAAGGCATCCATATTTCCTAAATTGACTGGATTTTTACTGTAAAATTTTTAGTATTAAAAAAAAAAAGGCATTCCTTAGAAAAACCAACTAATGGCATAATAGAAGAGCAAAAACCCATGTAATGAAAACTGTTCTGGAAGAGTTTATGAATGGCCAGGTCGTTAAGGTGAAATTCCCAGGCTCATTTGTCATGCGTCAGAAATTACAATGGGAAAAAACTCAACTTTGCCCTGTGCTCCTGAGATTTTACTAAACAAGGGCATGCAACTGCCAGCTGAAGACTGACATAAAAGCTGCATTTGAACCAGAATCCATAGCAATTAACATTTTATTGAGTTAATCAGAATCAATATAAATTTAGGTTGCTTTTTTTCAGATGTGGAAGGGGTGGTGAGCAGAGTGAAAGCAGTAGAGGCTGTGAATAATGGTAAATATTCATTACTTGTCCTTGTTATTGTAAATGGGATTATTTATGCCAAAATCAGTGCTCTGTCTTAACTTGAATATTCAGCTAGGCCTATTATTATACTGCACAAATTATTATGCTGCAAAAATTATATTATTATACTGCACAAAAAAACCCCCAACTTTTTATTTGTTTGATGCCTCTCTTAAAGGGCAGGAAAATTCAGTGAGAGAATGGCATGAACCCCAAGCAGAACAGTTTTTCCTCTGACTCAAGATAGCCATGTATCACCAGTGTTCCCAAATTAGCTTATTAATCTTCAGTGTGCAAAGATATTTTTTAAAAAAGGGTTGAAGAGGAAAAAAATAAATAAAAATTAAATAGTTGGTTAAATAGAGATGCTGAAACATAACATTTGCAATATACTGCTGAAAACATTTCCGATGCAGAGGAATTTTGAGGAAATGGAGCTTTGTCCAGTGCTACTTTCTCAGACAGAGCAAAATGACCTCTTTGTGAAGCAAAGCTTTCAATCTCATCTGCAGTGCTGAGGTTTTGTTCTCGCCTCCACAGGGGCTTCAGGAGCTCATGGGGCTCATTACACGGCAGGAGCTCAGGAACATCTGTCCTGCCATGAGTCAAGTGGGCTGACCACAGGGGAGCTGGTGTGCTGACATCTGGCAAGAGATACTCAAACCTGACATGATCACTCCCTGGGTGTAAACTTAAGGAGTCTTCTCATGTTGGGAGCCTCAGAAATGTCCTGTGGACCTCAGCCCGGGAGGAGGAGACCTGGGCATGGCTTGCCCTGGACTCTGCTGCTCAATGTGGACATGGGCCTCTTTCACCCTGCTGCTCCCAGTCCTTCCCTCCCCCTGGGCTGGGAGTGGTGTGTGAGCAGCATCCCTGCAGGAACACCTTATAGATCCATCCCTGCAGATCAAGGATGCTTCTCCTCATCTCCTCCTGCTGCACAGGAAGGGTAATGATGCCAAGTAACTTGTAAAATTTCATATCCAACACATTTTGGCTTCTTTCTGCTTTCATAAAAAGTCAAGTGTGTCTGACCATTTTCTCTGTTTATAAGGCAGGGCATGGAAACAAAATCAGAGACATGTGTTGTGTTTGTTCCAGCAGCTGTGCAGTTCACATTGCTGGCACACAGAGCCACACAAAGGTCCACAGCCCCACACAGTAAAGCCTGTATGATATAATGATGCCAAGTCCTACAGCTCCCTCTGGAAGCTTTGAGTCTGCCTTTCTGGGCACCCAGGAGTGCTTGACCCCATGTGCTTCTCCTTTGTGCCTTTTTCTTCTACTTATTGCTGATGATGAATTGCTGTCTGACATAGAAAAATAACTGGGCCAAAGTACACTCAGGCAGGAGGGAGCAAATGTAAACATGTGTTTTATTTCTGTACATTTTATAGCTGCTGAAGAAGCACAAGCTTTGATGTGCAGTATTTTCAGGAGTTCAAACCCTAGTAAAAATTGTGACATGAGTGGTATTTACCATGTATATGTTTTCCTTAAGGGAGATAATGTGAAGTCATCACTGCCATTCAGACTGGCATTTTTGGAAAAGGGCACCCTCTGTCACACAAAATCCCTTGTGCCTTATGTACCCCCTCCCTTGTGCTGATGGCAGCAGCTCAGCTATGTACCAAAGGTTAGCTGCTGAGTCACTGGAACCAAAACATCCAAACAGTGGCTTACTTGAGAGCTACTTGCTAGGAATGGTAATTCACTGATTTGAGGTCTCTTTCATATGAATTTGTGAGAAATCTAATTACTCTTCTTTCCTGAAAGATTTTTTTTTCCATTTCACACTTTTCCAGGAACAGGAGCAGGAGAGCAGCCAAACAATGCTGGATGCTCATCTTGGCAATTTCCAAAGTGCTGTGAGCAGAGTATGCCAGGAATCTTGTTTCTAAACAACCACTCAAAGTCTTCTGCCTCTGTTAAAGCTTCCAGGCCCCTTATTCTGAAAGCTAGAAAGCTTTTCCTATGCATAAATAGATGAAACTTCCCTGTCCAAACTTGGGCTCTTTGACGTATCTGAGGAAGCTGCCCTAGTGCTTCCTTGGACTGAATCTCCTTTTCCCTGCTCTTGCTCCACAGACCTTCAGTCGCCAAGTCAGTCATCCTGCCTGCTGCTAAAGGTTGAAATTCATCCCCTACTTGTTTTTTTGGCAGCATCCTCATTGAGCTGTGTCCTTTCTGGCATGTCTTTTAGCTGGGAGAGAATCAGCTTTATCTGAGGTGAGAACTGCCTGGAAAAACCCAATGTGAGCTCTCAGAGTATTCACACAGAGTGGATAAATATGGCTGATAAGCATGGCTTGGTAACTCACAGGTGACTGAGTCATTTGGTGGAAGAAGCAGAAACAGAACTGCAGCTTCCTAATTAGCATAACTTGGCAGAGGGAAAAATTCCACTTATTGGTTTACTCAGGCCCAGATGCACTGTGCAGTGAAAGGTAATTACTGGGACATGATTGCTTACAGGATGTGACAACAGGCTCTCTAAGGTCTCGGGGTTCAGACTAATTGTTTTCATTTCATCTCTGTCTGGTACCTAGCACACTTGTTTTGTCATATCAAAGAGATTCCAGTGATAAACATGATCATAATTCATGGCAGTCCTACATTTTCTGACATGTATTTCTCTTGAAGATCAAATATCTAGCCACACAAAAAAGCATATAAATACATAGTCTCATGGAGTAAAGGTGCAGTCTGGACTATCAGCCTGGGATGGAAGAAGAGAATTATGCTCTACTCTTTTGGTTTTCTGAATTGCAATCCCGCTGAGCACAGCTGGGAATTGCACTAAATCCAAACATTTAGGACAGAGCTGAAGATTTCAATGTGCACGTTGTCAAATATTGCCTCACATGAGAGAGAGTTTCCCTGACTTGGTTGGAAGAAATAGTATCCTGACTGTATCTTTTAACTCAGACAGGGAAATGTAAATAGCTCAGGCCAGGGGTGCCATGTATCTGGAGATACAGAGCAAATGAATGAGCTGTAACAAAAGCAGAGAAAGAAGCTATTTCTTGCAGCATCAGATTGGAAGTTACAGACTATGGATTTTCTGTCCAACAGAGTTGAGGAGTGCCTGCAGATAGGTTGAGCATGATCTGACTGATCCTGAATAATCAGAATTCCCTGACAAAGGTTCAGGGAGCTAGCTTCCTTTATATTCAACCAAGAGAAACAGTGACTTGTATACAGGACACCGAATACAGACATCCGTGTTGACTACAAAGGGATTTATGGGTGACCAACATGACTGTACCTGCATCTATAATTAGATCATGTATTTCATTTGTGATTTCATAGCTGCTCATGCTCAGGAGTCCAGAACCCCTCAGCTTTGCCCTTCAGGTGGTCACTCAGGGTGGCTTTCCAGGGACAGTCCTGGCCAGCTGGTTTGTCAGTACAGATCCTGCTTCACACTTGTCTTGGCTGCATAAACTGTCTTACAGATTAAGAGGTGTTATCCTCATGTGGAAATTCTGCCTATTCCTTTCATGATTTTGATTCTATTTTCTGAGCTTGCTCCACGCATTGAATTAGACTGAATGTGTCTTTTCAGGCTAACAAGAGAGATTACTTGGACTACGTGAAGATTTGGAAGTGAACAAACTATCTTTGTAAATAGGGTAAATACGTGTTTCCCATGCAAGACACAAGCCCTTAGGGAAAAAAAAAGACAAAAAAGCAGTTTTGTCCTTTCATCCTTTCTCCTTTGTCCTTTCTCTTTCATCCTCATCAAAGTAGATAGCAACACTTGTTACCACTATTTATTAATCGAACTTGATTTAGTGATTTAGCAATCAATTACCCTCACATCCTTGGAATGAAAGTGGTTAGAATTTAATCTAGGTGGTTTATGCTTCTGGAACTGGCAACCCATCTTAAACAAGTTTCCAAACACCAGAATCTTCTTGTGTTATTGGGCACTCAGAAATGACAATTATTCTGGAAATAATCTCTTAAAGCAGAACTGAATTTTCTGCATTAACTCCACTGAAGTCTTTATCAGCCCGTGGCAGCTTGAGTCAAATATAATCTGCAGCAGTCGGAAACTCCAGAGCATCTGACATTTCTGAGCCTGATGGGAGGTATTTTGGAGCTGTGAATTGATGTGAGTTTGGACTCCTTGAACTCAGTGAACCGAGTAAAGGAGAGTGTGATGGTAACAGATGCCAATGCCCTTGCTTCCCCAGAGGCTGGGACAGCAACTGAGCATCACAAGGGCCTGAGGAAAGGGCTTTCTGGTGCTTTCAGGTGTGGCTGAGAAGGGATTTTCCTAATAAGAAAAGAAAATCTGTGCAGTAATCAGCCAGACCTACTATCACTGTTTTTACTCTCTTCGCAGCTGCTGCTGTGGTACCACAAACCCCACTGCAGCAATGGAACAGTTCTGAACTCTCCAGAGCCTGGACTCTCCATCAGTCAGGAAAACCTGCTGGCCTATTGTGAAGGAAAGCATTCTTTCAAACAATAATAGAGGAGCCATAGCAGTCCTTACTGCTCTCAGTGAGACACCAGATCTAATATTTAACACTTTAAATATGCAAGTGCAACTCTCTTTTTGTTGTATAGCTTAGTAATGAGAACCCTTTTTGCCAAAATCCCTACAAAAACCACTTTCTGCTTGCCTGCCCTGACCTTGCTGTTTCTCCTCTCTGAATATCATGCTCAGAAGTTGAGAGAGCTGTTAGAGGGCAAGGAAAAATAAACAAGCAGCACTTTTCTGTTGTTTGGATTGCTGTGGTGATTTATGAACAGGGTTATCTGCTGGAACTTAAGGGAGCAGCAATTACAGACCTCAGGTCATCAGATTAGTTCTCACTGGGCCAGAAGCTCCTTTAGGAGTGGTGACAGATTCAGCTACCAAGTGCTGCCTTTCATGGAGCATATGCAGTCACTTCAAAAGGCCAAAGGTTTTACTGCAAATGGGATTTCTTTTTTAATCTACTGCAGAGCAAAGGACCAGAAAACAGCAGGATTTGCCCCAGGGAGCATCCATTGCTGGGAGGGGATGAAGGAACTGTGCTACTGGATACCCAGTGGGGCTGGTCCCAGCTCCCCCCAGCCCTCCCCACCCAAGCCTGCCCTTGCAGGGGGGTTTGCAGGGGGGCAGCACGATCCAGTCTCTCCCCTGCCATGCTCTGGGCCACTGCCAGCTGGCAGATCTTCAAGGACGCTGAGGATTTGTGCTGCATACCATGGGGAATAAGCAGTGCTTTACATCTGAGTGTGCTCAGAGCTCATGGGCTTCCCCAGCACCAGTGCAGCCAAGATTCTTCCCATGTACAGGACAAGACCTCTCTGCTGTGGCTTTGCTGTTTGGAAAGTAAGATAGTGCAGCTATGCCTGTGTGGCCCCGTTGTGTAACTGATGGAAAGGGCAGCAAGAGGCTGATAGAAATTATTATTTATAAATGTGAAATGAACTGAGGTAAACCTGACAGCAATGATTCTGTGAGCAATAAGGGGCAGTACGTTCCTTGAAATTGCATTGAAGTTTTACCACTGCTGCTGTTGACTTCATATTCTTAAGGGACCCATACAAGCAATGGGTTGGCTGGGAAACGTGAGCACCATGGCCCAAAGCTGGTCCCATCAATGACAGTGCAGACATCAGTGCAAAAGAGCACTGTGTTTTTAAAGCAAGGAAATGGAGCATTTTATTGGAAATAACCAGTTAAAGTTAAAAAAAAAAAATCACTTCATAATCATAATAATTGGTTGTTTAGTAGGCAATTAAAGAAAAATGCTGTTCATTAGATAATATCATTAAAAGCCAAGGAAATCAAGCAATTTACTGACACCTGTGCTGTCTATTAGTTTGCTCATTTCCATTGATTTGTCTCATTTCACATTTCTGGAATGATGATTACCATCCCTTTCCATGAAGTCTATAAATTATGGTATGCTCAGTGCAAGCTCTATCAGAGAGTCTCTAACACACAAAATATTATCTTACTTCATTAAACAAGTAACTTCACAATCACACCTCCAATATTGATTTGAGTCCTAAGTCTAACATGGTG